TTTCTTTTTATTCTTTTTTTCTTTTCTACACTTTGTATTCCCTTTCCCCCCCCTAATCTTACATTTTTTGTAGTTTGTATTAGTTTGTGTTTTTTCAACTGTAATCTTTAATAAAATTATTTTTTAAAAATAAAATCAAAATAGCTCAGTCTTGGCATTTCAGATTAAAATTTGTATACACAGATTGATAAATTAGATCTCCATTTAGAAATATTCTAATTCTACAAACAGATATCCTAGAAAAAAAAAATCTTTTATAAATCCTAGAATACAATGTCCATATGAGTTTTTACCTCATATCCAATGCTTATGCCTATGGATAAGTGTGCTTCTGTTTCTAAATGTTGTTCCAGAAGACAATTTGGCAAATGTACAGTGTCCCCCTTCCACACACACTCATGCACAAACATACCCCTCTAATGTTTCAAAAAAACTGGACCTTCCTTCCTTCCTTCCTTCCTTCCTTCCTCCCTCCCTCCCTCCCTCTCTCCTTCTCTCCCTCCCTCTCCTTCTTTGTCTCCCTCTCTTTGGCCGACAGCTGGGCAATCTATCAAAGGCTGAAAGGTCAGCCAGAATACAAATGTTAATTTCAAAGTAAGTGTGCTGCAAGTTTTCCAAGAGCAGTCATTTTAATTAAATGTGTTCAACATTCATCTGAAATAATTTAGTGTACTCCACAGACTTCACATATTCTTCATCTTCCAAATTATTTCTTAAAAAGGAAGCTTTAGCTGGAGAAGAGGCAAATATAATTTCAGTGTAAATTCAGCTATATGTTTGCTTGCCTTGATAGATGGAGAAAAACATTTAGTTTTTCCATTAATAATTATCTTAATAAAAATATTACTTTTTGATACTTTATAGATTTCAGTTCATCAGTTCTAAGGACTTTAGTGTTCCTAAATGAGACTCTGTTTTCCCCCACTCTAAGGTGGTGCTGAGACAACTTTCTTTGTTCTGAAATTGCAGCAGTTTATAACTTTGTTCCCCCTTGGCTACAATATCAGGCCCAACTGCTGACTTTTTCACAGAACATGGAAGATAATTTTTTCATTTTCCCTGACAATTCAGCTTTGTGACACCTCTGAAGGCTTTGGATAGACCTTTATTAAATATCACCTATTTTAGAATCTCTTTGGCCTCCTCCAGCTATTTTGTACACCCCAAAATAGAATGATGTACAGAATGCCACAGAAGTATGTGGAATTATGTGAATAGGAAGTTTGAAAAAGGATGCTTAGTGAGGAAGGGAAAGAGGCTGTGGATGACAAAAATGCATAAAAGAGAATCAGCGCTACAAAAAATGAAGGTGACAAAAATGGTATAATATCCATAGGAAAAAAAAGATAGCTGCAGAGTGTAGTCGGAGAAAGCAAGGAATGATTAAGAATAAACTGCAGAATAAATGAAGAGCAATTTTGAAGGAAATAAAAACAATGTTTTGAAAAGGGCTAAACAACAATCTCCAGCAACATGGATGGAAGTAAAAGTAAAAATTATTTTTTGTATTCAGGAAGAAACTGAAATGAAAGAATGCAGAAGTGATTATTTTAGAGATTTGCATAGCAATGAGACTATGTTGAATAGCAGAACTGAAATAAGTGCTATAAAGAAGAAGACATGGAAGAAAAAGAAGTTTTGAATGCTCAGATAATGCTGAAAAACTCTAGATGTTGTAGAAAAAAGTAAAATTATAGATATAATTTGCTAATGGAGTAACTATGAGACTCATGGTTGAATGGAGTTGATGAGATACTCAAAAAAGTGAGAAGTTTAAAGAACAAATGACAAAGTATGAAAAGGTGCATGATATGGTGGAAACAAGGATGGTTTGTAAGGATAGAAATACACTAAATGCAGAGGTATAGGAAATGGTATTGATGTAAAATGGCTTGCTACTTATATTTTCTATATTTGCTAAAATATAGATCTCTTTTACATTATATTTTACTTTCCTATTTTTAGCTTGGCTTGTATGAAGTTTCTGACCCCTCTGCAGAAGAGAAAGGATAGCCATATTTGCAAAAGGTTTTTTTTTTAAAAAAAACACACAAACACTCAAACAAAACTACTTACAATGGCTAGGTTTGTGCTGGCTGTCATAAAAGCACAGAAAACCTTGTAATGGAAGAACTGGATTTAATATTTAACACTGCACAATACGTGTCATGTTGGTAAGTGGTGTGCATCTTTTTAGTAGTTTGTGTACTATAAGACCAGTGTTTGTTTGTATGGGTGGATTTGTTCTCCTCCTCTTTCAAATTGGACCCAATTGCATCTCTGATTATGTTACCTAGAGGGTGAAAAAGTCTGCTAATTTCCTTTGCCTCACAATTTTCTTCTACCTTTTTCTTCAGAACATGTTCCAGCAAAAGCAATAAGATGAAGAAAGGAAGTTCTACCTCTTTATTCTTTCCCTCTGGAATGCTGCTACAAATATAAGGAATGTCCTGGGAAATGTAGTTTATCTATTAATAAAATGGGGATATTACATTTCTAAGCAAAGCACTTACCTTTAGCCAACTAGGTGGGATAGAGGACTCTTTCTCATTTCCATTCATGATGACAGTAGGATACAATAGAAGGGCTTCATCTTTGGCTCAAATTATTTGAAGTGAACATGACTTTTGGACTGTAAAGAAGACCATATATTTGAAGCAAGCATTATAAGCTGCTGAGAATTAAGGCTGTAAGCTGTATGAAACTCAGAAACAATGCTAGTTAGGCTTATTTCTACTGAATCAGGTAACCTCACATTTTTAAACTGCTCATGTGGCTTTTCTCTTTCCCCATCAATTTTCTTCAATTTGCTATTTTTAACGTATTTCTTGACTAACAAGTCTGCTTGTTTTTGGAAGGCTTGTCTGTCTGTTAAAATGAGTAATTCTATTTTCCAAATGGAAAGCCCAAATGCTACAAATACTAGTAAAAATATAATATTGTTTATGGTTCAAAGAATTTTGGAAGTTTCATTTTAAAAGTCATCTTGAAATGTAGTCTTCTGCTGATTGAAGACATACAAAAATGTAACCTTTCCCAGCACACCCTTGTAGCAAAAATGCACACACACACCACTAGTTTTGGTTGATTGCTGGGAGGAAGAATAACGAAGTGTGAGATATACAATATGCGTATTATAAAGACTTCATTTTACAGTACAAAACAAGCATTTCAGAAATAAGGCTGTGAAAATTGTCAGTAAAATATTGAAGAGCGAACTATCAACCATCTGATGCAATGTTCAGGCCTGCATTATAGAATTGCAAACTCTTTCATTACATGGAGGGCTACACAAAATGGAAAAGACTCAGAAATATTTCTTATGTGCGTTTGAATCCACCTCTTCATAAACAGAACCTTCCCTTTAGTTATCAGCCCTACTTCTTAGGATTGAATTGGCATTCTTCTAAACATCAGAGTTTTAGAAGTGGTTTCTTGGGTTTGCTGCAGAGCTGTAGTGGGAAAAGGAGTGAAGGACTACAAGAATCCTCCTATACATCTCAACCTCTCTAAGTGGACTTTTGGATTCAGTGACTAATATTTTCTCCTATTCAGCCAATTCACAATATTTAAGGTTGGAGAAACATCTGTTAAGGTAGTCATCCAGCTCTTAATTTTTTTTAAGTAAAAAAAATCCAAATGTTTCAGGCTTTATTTAGAAGGAAGATGATCCATATCTTGTTTTGAATCACAATTTTGGAAGACCTCCCAAAGCCATTATATCATCTAATGGAATAAAAGTCTGCAGGATAATGTTCCATTTCATTTATTACTGGCTTGTTCCTAAAGTTAACAGAAAGTTCAATCCATCTGTTCAGAAGCCTATTATGTTAAGCTGACACATTTTTTTTTTCATGCACCAGCATGGCTTTCATTGTGTTTTATGTATTTTGAGAAATAACAATTTTAGCTATCCAGTGCCAAATCCCCCAGAGGCAGATGATATTCTGCAACATCAGGAATGGTTTTACATTTTGGGGTTCAGTCCCCTGCAATGTGAAGTAATATTACCCAGTTTGGCTTAACTGACTTTGTCTAGTGCAGCTCTGGAAATTATTCTAAATTACTGTTCTGCTTTGCTGCTATAAAGACTATAATATTCTTTAATTCTGTTCTCTACCAGACCAGAAACCATGCACTTTGCCCAAGTCATGAAATATTTTAAAGTTCTTATGGTTATCATGTTTTTTTTTGTCCTTGACTACCAGGTGTAACTTGACACTAGCAACCATTGACTAATGTATTTAGGATATTTCCCTATGAAAATTCTGAATTGGTTCAAAAACAGCACAAGGCTTCTGCAATCCCATGACATTAACTGTGCTCAGCTGTGGTCTGTCTGATACAGCTTGGGCTGTTCAGCTTCCCCACACAAGAATTGCTCAGATGTTATTTTATTTTGGGGAGTATGACAAGGCAAAGGGATTCAATATGAAATAAGGATACATATGGAGTTAAGGGAGTGCAAGCAATTTATATTTTTGTCTTTTCTGTTTAATTAATAAAGGCCTTTTTTGTGTGAAGTGTGATTTTGTTATTCTAGCACCTCTAATAGCTCAAGGTGAGGCAATTAAATTTTTGCTTCTTGATTGCAGTGTTTTGAGGTATGCAGTAGTGAAGCTGATAACTGATTGCGTTCAAACTGCTTTTGAGGAGTAGAAAAAGAGAAACAATGGTAGTATGGAAGTGTTCTCAGCTTATAATCTCCAGCATGAGACTGACAGAAACATCTGGCTCAAGTTTTGGAACATCTTGTTTCTTTCCCATTCCCTGCTTTTTCATAATATGTTGCCTGCTGAAGAGATCTGGAGAACATGAAAGCCTGCCCTTCCATTTGTGCCATTTGCATTATTCCTAATCAGGTATCGCTCTTTTTCCCCCCCTCATTGAAATGTTCCCGCCCCCTTATATTCATAGCCATCTTTAATCTCTGAAAATGACATCTGGACATTTGGAACAGTGAAAAGTAGGACATGAAGAACTGCTGGATGAGGGAAGAATTACCTCAAACTGGATTTGGATTTTAATAAGGTTTTAAAAAGTTAATAGAAGGAAAGGTTTGGTTGTTTTTTTTGGTCTCCTCATCTTCACCAGCAGCTTCTTCTCATGTCTTATCCATTATTCTTGGGGAGCCGCCGCCACCACCTCCTCCTCCTCCTCTTCTTCTTCTATTGGAACATTACATCATAATTTATTCAAGTCACTGTGGTTGGAAAAAATATTTACACATTAGAAAGGTAATTATAAAGCAACCTCTTCATTAGCTCCCCACCCCCAGGTTTTCAGAAAAGTGAGTCTTCAAGCAACATTGCTATTCAGATCTTCATGTGGACATTTTCAATAGTTTGGTCCAGTTATTTTTCTCTTTTAAATTATTTTCAAAGCACATAA